ATCGCGGAATGAGGCCGCTCGGGGAGCCTGCGGGGAGGCGGCGCGGCGGGGCTTGTCTTTTGGCGGCGTGAAATTTTGTGATTCGGCGGGTTCCAAACCAGGAGAAGCGGAGTCGGGGGCGGGGGGGGAATCGAGCCCGCCCCGGGAGGCGGAGCGGGCGCCGGGAGGAAATTAAACGCGTGAGGCAAAACAAAAAGGCAATCCCAAGTTTGTTGGCCGTATTAACAGGAGTTTCTCCACCCCCGTCTGCCCCTCCGTGTCAAGGAGAGCACGGATTACCCCTTGAGGAGGAAATGGGCAATAATGGGGCAATAAACAGGTTTGCTGGGTAATCATCGAGGTAATTTGCAAAACCGCTCTCGACCCCTGTGTCCACCTGAGAGAAGGTTTTGCGTTCAGACGTGGCAGAGAAGTAACTCGGAGGACGTGGCCGTGGCCCTCCGGGTCTCGCATCCCGGGCGGTGAAATAAAAATCTCGCTACTACGTGTGTGTTACTGTTTCTGGTCAAAGCCCAAACTTTTCCAAAAGTAGCTGGTGATTATTTTAGTGCTTCATTTAATTTATACCCTACTGAAGTGTGTTCGGAGTTTGAACAATGCTCAGTGAAGAAAACGGAATGAAAAACTTGCGTGTGTCTCAGATGTCCGTGGCTGACAGAGGTTTAAAAAGCCTATTCTCGGTCCTGAATGTGGTGCTTCATTTTAAAAAACGTTATGCTGTTGGCTGCTTGAAGAGCAGCTTATTTAAAAATCTTTACAGAATGTGAAAAGGAGTGAGTTTAGTGAGGTGAGCTGGGTGAGTCTGTAAATTACCGCTCTGTCAGGATTCCTATTGCCTATTACAAAGCACCTTTTTACGCTGAACTTAAGCTCTACACTACAGAGACAGCAGATGTGAGGTGATGACTTCCAAAAGCAACACAGATGCTGTAAAATTTCCATTGCAATATTTCAGCAAGGAAACTCAGGAGACATGCTGAATGCTACAGTTTAGAATTACACTGTAACTCGTCTAGAAATAAGGGAATACTAAGTTTCTCAACAGTACATTTGGCTTCGTTTTTACAGTTGTTCATATGCTCTTGTTTTCTTACAGCGTGAAGAGAGTTGCAGCACAAAGATCCTGTGTGTCTTGAAGCTGTTCAGTAATGACGAAATTCGTAACATGGAACTTTATGGCAATTTAGTAATGACTGCATATCCAAATTCCCGTGTAAGACCATGATAATTTTTGAAATAGTCTTTCAGGTATATAAAGCAGCACAGCTGTGGGGAGGTTGCTTTATTTTATGTGACTGAGAAACAGCCTGGATAGCTCAAGGCTGTGGAATCACAGCCCATTGTGTGTTCCTCATGTACTGAGACTTCCCTGAAGTCAGTAGAAGTACTGAGATGAAGGAATCAAGGGTCAAATCTTTAGAACGGTTTATGTGTTTATTCCAGAAAATACAGCAGCTGCTTTTCCTGAGAAGCTGAGCTTTCTATAGCAATACAGATTACTTCAGAGTACCTTTTGCAGGGATTTCAAAACATACATCCAGTCATCAAATCATGCAGAAATATAAAATGAGCAAGAATGTTACAAATGCTACAACCTTTTGCATACCTATAGATTTGACAGCAAGTAACACTTCTACAAGTCTTGGTTTCCATAGATATTCATGTCTCTTTTACTCAAACATTTAGGTTTGTCACTGGTCCTTCTAACATAAATTTAGTTCCTGTGTGCACCTGAGACTTTGCATTAAGATTCTATGGATCACACCAAGCCAGATGATGATAACTACAGGGCATTTTAGCTTAGTAAATTGACTCTTGATTATTTTTTTAGTGTTTATTTTTTTTTGTGTGTGTGCCTTTTTGTTGTTGTTTTTTCTTTGTGGAAAGAAAAATACAACATAAAATCTAGGATTTAAAATGTTTTGGGTTTTTTTATTTATTTGAAAATACAGATACTTAGTTTATAAGAATGAAAAATTGCTTTTTAATTCCCACCTAATAATGTCCTCCAGTAAATTTTAGTGTGGCATTGTCTGCATGGGATAGGTCAATGAATAGTGCTTTTATAAAAATGTTTGAAAAGAAGAACTCAGTCCATGGAAATTCTTCAAATAATCTTGTTAGAATGAAGCCTTGACTGAAGGCAGTAATTTCATGGATTAAACCCAGAAGGGGCTGTCTAGGCTGATCTCCTTCCTATCACAGGCCACAGAGCTGTATCCAGAGCCTGTCTACACAAATACTGGTTAGCTACAAGGCATAAGGGATTTTGCATGGCCAGTGCATTGAACAACACCATGAAGCTGGAAACTGTGCAGCTTTTTGAGGATAGTGTAAATGGGAGCAAGGAAGGAGTACTACTTTCCCAGGCAAGTTAGTAGACAGTGTAAATTGGAGTTATGGCTTCTTATTATGTTTCCCTAAAATGTACTAATTAAAAGTAAAATAAACTTTTTTCCAATCCATCCTTTTATTTCACATGCCACATGTAGTTCAGAACTGAGCAACACAATGGGCAGTCCAAGTGTGGGAAGGAACTCATTGATTTGTACTTCTGCAAGCCTTCAAAGCAGAAATTATGAGTGAAAATCCAGCACAGTGAAACCTGCAAAAAACAGAGATGGGAGACTACAGCATGGATATATACCTTATATTTTTATATTCTCCTTGCATCTTTTCAGGGATATTGGATTTCATCAAGATGGGCACAGTACCATGATGCTACTGTTGGTCAGTGAGATGTGAGGGAGCCTTTAGGCAAAAATAAATAAAAAAAAATAGGCTGAATACAATCTGCTGCAGTAGCTACTTCTGGAGTGCTATGAGGATGTGGCAGAAAAGGAGGTGAAATTGCTGGAAGGGTGCTGTTCTATAAAGGAGGATGACAAAGTGATTGATCAGTGCTGTGTTCTGAGTGTCGTGCTAATGGTGAAGCTGCAGGTTATGGCCCTGAATGTGGCTGGAAGAATTTTGCTGAACGTAGGAGTAGACTGTGATTAGACTTCTTCCTGAGGTTGCTTTGGATGTCTAGGCTGCTAGTGAAGCAGCACGAGCAGCAGAATGAATGCAAGAAGTCGGTGGAAATAGCATCTCAGTGTGAGTTGATGATGGGGCTACAATGTATTTGCTCACTCAGTATAGTTGTATATTGCCTCATTTCTTGTTAGTGACAATGCAGGAGGAAGAAATGCAAGAAAAGATGGGTTATAAGGATTATGAAAGAAAATAAGTGTTCTTGAGAGGAATCTAACTTTTTCCGTAATATTTTTTTTCCCCTCCTTTATTTAGCTAGCTTTATTTATAATCTGGCTGTGCTACAGACTGTAATACCTTGTGGTGGGTTGTTTCATATATGATAAATCCTGTGATTTTGAAGACAAATTGTCCTAAGTTAAACACTCCATTGATTCCTTGTCGCCATACTTGGAGAAAAATACAAATATAATGCAGTTAAATTGCTAACCATATTAAGCATATAGGGACATAGTGAGTAGGGTTGTCTTCCTCTGATTGCCCAGGTAATCATTAATTTACTTTCTGGCAACTGCTAGAACATTAGTATATAAATGCAGGCTTGAATCTCAAAGGTTATGTGGATTCCGGTTGACAAGGAGAGGTGTGGTCTCTGGGAATAATATGAGAGTATACACATGTGCCACTCTCCTAAAATTCAAAGCTTTTCCACACCTTTAGGATGCCAGTGACTTCTGTGGTCATATTTACGGTTCTCTCTCCATGCTCCATCAAAATGTCATTAATGCTCATACATGCTCAAATGGCACGTGCACCGTTGTTACTCCCAGCACGGGTTGGGAA